ATCTGTTTTCTTTCTTATTAAATTTAGTACAAAAAAAGTAATACCAATAACGTGAGCTGTATCTAGTTCATTAAAAATAAAGCAATACATATGTTAAAACATAAAATAAAAATAAAATTTTGATAAAAATTCTTTATATGTTATAAAATTTAAGTTATGAAATTTCAAGATATATATATTTATTCTTTTAACTAAATTATGCCACCATTGTGCTTTGTAAAAATGCAATTTATTCCAATTCTTTCAGACCTACGCATCTTTTACATAACACATTATTCACTGCCAATCAGATAAAACAAGTCACTAACTATTCAGAATATATGATTGTGTAAATTTGAACTTCTTAAAAGTACTCTATGCTCTTAAAATGTGGGCTTTGACCGAATTTATTTTTATTAAATTTATTTTTATCTCCAGCAAGAAAAATTTTATTGCTTTAACTTTATTTAACAATCATTTATATCTTTTTAGTATATTGAAGAATATATTAAGAGTTTTGTACTGTCAATAAGTCTCTTCCTCTAATTAATTTCTAATATATATAAATCAATAAAATTTCAATTAATTAAATATTAAATTTGATCATAATTCTTAAATTTTTAATTACTATTTACGAATGATAGTGTTAAGCTATTTACACCCTACCAATTATATAGAAAACAGTTAAAGTACATTAATTAATTAATTTTCTTTTAAAAAAAGTAATAAATATTAAATTACATTAAAAAATACAATATTAATCAGCTCACACTTTACATAACTTATATTTTTTCTATGGTTGAATATAGCTTTAAGCATCAGATAACCATCTTCTATACTGTAAAATCTATATTGGTGATACTTTAGATCTATTTAACTGATAATATATTTATATTCATAGATATATTTAGTTGTATATATATATACAGAATATGCATTTGATATATAAGTAGATATTAAATGTAGGCTAAATATCTGAATATAGACTAAAGCTTAATGAAAAGTATCTATGCTAATGCAGTTTATCAACTGTTAGAATTTTATCAAATCTACTGTATATGGAACAGATTTTTCAAGTTTTTTTTTCTTTCTTTCCTTTTTTCTTTTTGATGAAGCTTTTCAAAGAATGGAGCCATGCCTAGTCAATAATGTTACTTGGTATGTACTGAACTGGATATTTTATTGTTAACTGTATAAGAAAGAATATAACAAAGTTAATTGAATAATTATATAAGAAGAAAAGTTAAATTGAATTTTATCAAGGAAACTTTAATTTCCTAGTAACGTTTAAGCAAAAAGAAATATATACTTTATTTTTTTATTTAAGTAACCCCGGGCATAAAATCGAGTTTTACTTTTTTTTAAAAAGCCTAGAGCTAGTGATAGAGGAGGAAAAATTCCAACCAGATGCGTTTTATTCCTATACTTAAAATAACAAAACTACAATGTATAAAAGGTAAAAAATTTAATTTCCTACGAAGGAAAAGTGAAATATATATATACATATACAAAAAAGGAAAAGAATAATAGATAATTGGATAATATCCTGCAATCGTTTTCATGACAAAGATGACTTTTCATCGTAAATCTGTGCACCTGTTTTTTGAATAAAAGAACAAGTTCTATGCTAACCTAGGTTTCTGTATAAAAATAGACCTATTTTTAAATAAAAATGCATTAAGAAAATCTTATTTATCATCTCCTTTAAAAAAGAAAAAAAAAAGAAAAAAACAGAATTGGCGAAAGCATTAAGAATAAGCATCTGTTAACACGCAAATTTCTGTTGAAATTTATGAATGATTTAATTCTATAACGATTTTTTCTAACGCAAAATGTAGTTATAATCGAATAAAATTTTGAAATCAATAATATTAGTGAAAAATACCGTTTGAACAGGTAATACTAGTAAGGTACACAAAGTTTAAGCAAACCAAGGACATAGGAAAAGTAGAGCGGGGTCGTTGGAAATTTTGTCGTTTTCTTCACTATAATGTCGTTTCGTCTAGGTAAGTTTAAGTTTAAAAGTTTAATGCGGAAATTTAAATATTCTATCAACTATTTAATCCATTTTTCTAAAGATATATGCATAAGTAACCTAAATAACGTCATTTCCAGTCGTGTTTTCCATTATCAACTTTTCTTACCAGGAAGTAAAACTGATACAACTGCGAGAACTTTTTTTAATCTCTGGCTGAGATCTTGGCGAAATAGGCTTTTGTTCACAAAAACAATTCGGTAAAAGATATTGGAGTATCTATTCTTTTAGTTTTAGTTCGTTAGAGGATTTTCTGTTAACAACTGTTGCTGTGTTTGTTCACCTGGGGATATTTTCTGGAATTCAGGACAAAGTGAGTCGATAAAATGAGGGTATCAAACAGGCCTCTTTGCTGTCAACAACATGGCCTATTTGACAGTTGTTTACTGCCAGTCTGCACGTAGAAATTCAACCACGGAATTTTGAGAAATGACCGCTTCGTCATCTGTCAGAACCAAAGGCAAGATGGCCGACTTAAAACGTTTATGTCCTAAAAATCGAACAGACCTATTTATCATTCCTATTTTTAAAAGAAAGTTAATGCTATTCTTTTTTTCTTCTGTTCTGATCTAAATTTTTCTTTTGTTTTCGGAAGTATCTTTAACCATATCACGATTTATATTTTCTTTCTCTTCGTTCTAAACATAGGCTGTACTTTTAAGATAAGGACACGTTTATTAAAAAGAGAATCGTGGGATGTTATAAAAGATACAAACAACAAAGATGCGTATCACGTTCTCATATGTCTAATAAGAAAAGAATAATGGCGTCTCTTTATGCCAAATGACTTGTTCGTGCATCGATGATTTCAGTATAAACATACTTCGAAATTAATATGATTTAAAACTCTTAACACGGAATACGACTGTCAGAAGAGGTTTAATGATGACTTTCTTAAGCATAAAATACATTTCTAATATATACATTTTTGAATATAATGATAATTTATATTCAAATATTATGTTATACAATACTTTATAACCCATTTATAAACTTACGTTGAGAATATAACAATGTTGTAAATAACATTCGACACAAAGACCTATACAAATAAGCTATAATCTAACCAAGGTTATCATATATTTTACGCTGTTTCATTTTAAATCCTTACTAAAATAATTATAGAAATTATTGTTCTAGTAAAAAATACACTAGGACCATGCTGCAACGATATATAATGCTATAAAGGTAACCATTTACGGCATTATATATTGTTGTTGTAGCACGGTTCTACAGCTGTTGTAATTTAATCTTACAACATTGATTGCATTTGGGTTTTAGGTATTGAATTGAAACTAGTATATTCTTGAAGATATTTATAAATTTTAGGCAAAAAAACATCCATCAATCAAGATGAAGTAGACCTTGAATATAAAGAATCTTCAATACAGTTTTGCATCTAAATTAGTTTGAAACTTGTTTTAGATTATTTCCTGTCTAAAACTAGACAATAAAAATTTCATTCAAAATAACTGTTTATCACATGATAACCAATCATTCGTGATTTTTTTAATTCATAAGGTGTACGAGTAGAGCAGGTTAAAATTAAAAAAAGAGAGAGAGAGAGAGAGAGAGAGAGAAATAATTTTAAACATTTCGTAGACTTATAAGTTATGATAGAAATGAAACATAAATAAAAATTCCAGTTATATAAGTAGATAAAGAGTTTTGCAAGAGTTTTCGTGTATTAAGAGTACATAACAACCATTTGAACTGTAATTAACAGTAATTAAATACATTTAAGTATCTTAAATCAATATATACCAGGAAAAAATATATAATTTATTTGTTTATTTTTCTTATTCCTGTATTAGAAAACACTACAAATGTTATTTACATTTATATGGCAGATGTACAGTAGATGTATTGTACAGTACATTCACGTTAGTTAGCCGATAATCAATATTTTTCTCTAGTAAAGTACGCAAACATAGATTACATATTTTGTAAGCGGCGGTTAAAAATAACAAATGGTTAATAACCTCAGAAAACGATTATTATTATTATTTAAATATAATAGTTTGNGTAACTTTCATTATCATGCAGTTATAGAACTAAGACAGAATTGGAACAGGGTTAAATCATAAGATAAATATACATACGAGCATGAAAAATAGGGCTTTCATACAAACAAGACTGATCAAATATCATCAGTATTAAAAAAGATTTTTTTTTTTTACAAAAAAAAAAAAAATAAAAAAATTTTTTTTTTTTTTTTTTTTTTTTTTTTTTTTTTTTTTTTTTTAGGACAGTTCATAAGGGATTCTGTTCTGTTATTTCTAGGAATTGTGCAATTATATTTATATATCCTACATAATTTTTTCAGATTTTTTTTTAAAATAAACGTGAAGAATTTTAATATTTCTCATGTTATAGGGCTTATACTTCCACTCTCCATCCTAGGATGAAGACATGAGAAAAAATCGATAAGAATATAGTTTTATCGATGCAATATTTTATTTTACTATTATACCTCGTGATATAGGCCTATATATATATATATATATTTTAAAGCTTATTTTTATGAAACAATTTACGTTTGCTTAGTTATAAATAATAAATTCACCGCCATATGTTTTAATATTGAGAGAGCAATGAACTTGTACACGAAGATGTATTCATTCATTGCTTATGATATATTTAAATATAACTATTTTTCTATATTTATGGCTCGTATGTATAAAAGGTGATGGCAATGAACTTATATTAATATTAATAGTCAACTTATTCTAATAATTTCATAATTTTTGTTTTACAGCAGAATATTGTATAAAAATTCTAACATTTTCTTCTTTATCTTTTCAGGTATCGTCTTTATTTATCTACTTAGTTTATTTAATTCATCATATTTAGTTTCTGATAGTTTCTTCTCCGAAGCATCTCCACCAAGAACCGATCCAAATCCTTTCTTTGCTTCAAGATGGAGAAATCTTTTCTCTACTGAAGAGTCTCTAATAAATCCAATTTTAAGAAACTCGCAAAGACATAATTTATATTTACCACATTTTAATTATCCTGTATTGTTTCCTGAGGAATTTAATAATACCAAAACAATTTCAAATCTCTTCTTGGATAATAAATCTTTAAAAGAAAGTATAAATCTCTTCGATCTCTTGCAGAAGAATGTAAGAGATGATATAGTTGCCAAAACTATAAATTTAACTAAAATTGATGTAGAAGATGATATATTAACCAAAGATGTAGAATTTAATCCTAAGACCGAAGAAACCGAAGTTAAAAGCGTTACGTACGAAGAAAGGAATAAGAAAAATGAAGAAAGTGTTTCTAAAAAGGAAACAACCGCTCTAGAGGAAGGAATTGAAACAGAAAATGAACAAATATCCATTAGGAATAACGATAAAGTAGATATTAAAGCTATAAAAAACGATAAAGAGACAGAAAACGAAGGGAACAGAGTAAAAATCGAAAAGAAAATAGAAATAATCGATACTACAACTACAAAATATGAAGTCACAGATACAGAAAAAGAAGAAATTAACCATAAGAGTGACGATGAAACAGAGAAAAAAGAGAAAGATCATAAAAATGTCGAAGGATTACAAGAAAGGCAATTAATCTCAAAATCGGAATCGTTCGATCAAGATGGATCTACAGATAAAGGAAAAAATTTTAATGACGATGATAAAAAAGAAAATATGAAACACGTGCTTGAAACAGAGAAAACGAGTTCTGTAGTTAAAGTCGATGATGTTGAAACAAGTTTAAAAGATATTAAAATGGAGGAAGTTACTACCGTGAAAACAGATTTGGATAATGTGGTAGGGAATAGCGAAGATGGTAATACCGAGAATAAGAAAGAAACGAAGAATGATGGCGAGAATAGAAAAATCAATCTTAAAACGGAAATAGAGGATAGAGAAGTGAATTTAGAGAAAAATAGGAAGCAAATAATGTCAGTCGAAAACAACGAAGAACGAAGCGAAAGTAAAAAAGTGAAGACAAGTCGCGAGGAAACGAATCATAAAATAGAAGAGACAAACGAGGAAAGTGTTCAGGAAAATGAATTAAATGAAATCAAAATCGAGGACACAATACAAAATGGCCAATTCCCTGAAAATATTAATGAAAGAAACGATAACGATACAAATAAAAATGGTTCTCAATACGAAAATTCTCAATACGAAAAACGAACAGAAATGAACAATATTGAAGATTTAAATGGGTTGAAAGACAGAAATCGAAAAGTACAAGAAACGTTAAGAGAGACATTACCAGATGAATTATCCAATTCAGATCTGGATGTCCTTCAAGATAATTCAACAAAGTTTATCTGCTTGACAGACAGCAGCAAATGTTTGAGTAAATCGACCTCTATTCTTTTAACAACGGGTATTTTAATAGGAATCATCGTCGGTCTGGTGACAATTGTAGGAATAACAACAGGTAAGATAATTATTCTCTTGTTATTCTAAGAAAACTAAACAGAGAATAACTCACAAGAATGACCATTGTACATTTATTACTGTCATTCTTTATTGAATTAATGACCATGTAAAGTCGAAAGGAAAAATTCCAACATGGATAATTTCAACATCTTGATAGTCCTACTTGTCATCACTTGTAGGTCGAGGGCAACTATATAAATAATCGAGTCACTGTTTCTTGAACATAAAACAGAGAAACTTAATAAAAATGTTAAAATAAATATTAAAGATTGTTTATAATGGAGCATTAATCTTTCATTTAGTTAGATAATTTAGTTTTATTGAAGAAAAGTTAAATGTTTTGCTCTTCAGACTGTCTGACGTAAAACTTTTCTCTATCAACTGTCAATCGATCTAATCGTTAAATTAATCGATCGATGAAAATTCACTAAGTAAAATCGATACGAAGAATCAGAAAAAAATCCATCTCAAATTCAAGGTCAATTCAAGAGCTGTTGAATTGATTTTTCTATCAGAGATGCTACCTTAGTTAAAGCTATAGTTTATTTTATGCGATAAATTTTTAAAATTTCACAATATCTTTATAAAAATTTTCCGGATACAACTCTAATCATGATATTATTTGTAAAATTAATATTTTTCGATATCAATTTGATAAAAGAACTTGGACATTGCAAAAATTTAGAGTAACTACGACTTAAAGGTCGATGTTAATCAGTAAAAACGCATCAAAACTTCCCAAATTGCGACATTATCTGCGATATTTTTGCATACTAATTTATAAATATATGTACAGTACAGTACGTGCTGTATTCATACAAAACGATAAGCGTACTATCAATGATTATCGATTTTCCATCGGATTCGTGTAGAGATTCAGTGAATTTTTTTTATTATTTATTATGTATGCTTTCACGAGAATTATTTAATAACATGCTCACATTTATAAACTATTTATAGGATTATCTGTTTACATTTTCCACCGTTGGAAATTACGAAAGAAACCACGAGACAGATCTAGAACCTCAAAAATGGATAGAGTAGTTAGTTCTACAACACGAAGACCTGTCAAGAATCGATCTACAAAGCGAAAAGTAAGATATTTAAGTGTGTGTGTATGTATGTATATTAATATAGCTTCTAATTACATGAGTTTTCTTGCTTTTTTTCTAGTTGAATCTACGAGAAGTAATGGAAGAAAACGATTCCCCCGTCAACACACTTGAAGCGATCACAGTACACAATTACAGAGAAGTCGGGAGATACTCTTACAATCTGTAACAAAAACAAAGAAAACAATAAATACAGTTTCAATTAGACGACAAATCTATACAATTTTCTAAGTTAATAATCGTATAAAACGAGGAAAAATTGTCATTATCAGATTTCTTGTAGATCACCCACGTTTGACGGAATGGAAAAGAAAAAAAAATGATAGTATAAAAGGAAAAATATAATTATCCCATTGACGTCATAAAATTATAGACGTTATACAAATATTCTGCTCGTATGACAAAGCATCAGACAATCAAAAGATGAGAAGAGGAGAAAAAAGTATGTTATCTTACACCTCGCTTCATCTTTGGTCAGAAAAGTTGAAAGACCGTTTGATGACAAGATGGCCTTAGGGAAGGTTGCATCTTATCAACCTTGAGCGGGTATTTCGTTTATTGGTGACCTTCATATCTGGGGACGCCTATGGTTCCTACCAACGTTCCGTTTCGTGCAATGCACTCTTTAATATTATATCATTCGAGAAGAAAAATGATTAGGAGATTGAACAAGTTACATAAAACCCAATCGCTCATTGAACTACGAGTATAACGGGTCCAAAGTTGCGTAATAAATTAACGGATGAGAACATTCCACTAATGGCTCATCTAAACATCTTTCTATCACCCCGATGATACCTTACGTTCGACTCGTCTTCTTTATTTAAAAAATATATATAAAAAACAAACTAACTTCTGAATATAGTTTTATAAGCGGTATATAATAAGCATTCTGTAAAAAAAAATAAACAAATTTTAATTAATCGCTTCATAGATAGATAATTTACCGCATTTAACTTTTCCTCTTGTTGATCATTAAAGTTGTATTCATATGAAACGAAAAATAATCCTGAGATAAATAGAAATTCATTTCAGAAACTAAATTTTTTTCTTTTTAAATTTAAAAATAAAATAAAAAAACGAATAAATTCATCTCCTTATACGTCTTTTTCAATATTTATTTTCTTTTATCAATCTGTATTTTACATTATATACAATTCTCCTGTGTTATATGCAATTCTGTCTACAATTCTATCCAAAACGTATAAATTAATTATTAAGTAGCGGCGAGATAACGACACGAAAACTAACTTAAGCATGAAAACCTCATACACACGTCACACAACATATTACAATTTAAAAAATGTACTTGTGACGTACAAAGCAACGTTACGTTCAATAAATAAATTCAACATTTTAACAGTTTATTATTACATTCTTTTTTTTTAAAAAAAAAAGTAGACGTTTTTCTGGTTTTGTTACATAAAAATCTTGCTTAGCATGCTTAAAATAATTATTAAGCAGCGTGGAATAATGATGTAATAATCAGATAAGAATGAAGATCTCAAACGCCAATCGGTAAATCTTATAGAACGTTCTACGAAGTACTAAAACTCAAGTTTATTATTACTTTTCCTAATCTAAAACTATGTATATGTTCGTTTCCATTACACAATCCGTTTTTTAAACCAAACAACGTCTCCAATAACCATCGTGTTTATGATTTAGGAACTCAAAAGATCTCCTTGACCTTGTATCTCTGGTCAAAATATTTCCTTGACCTTGTTTGTATATCATTCTACATCTCTAATAATTTCGCGATAAATCTCATAAAAGTACGAATAGTATCGCGAGTAAAAGTATTTTATTATTATTTTTTACAGCATGGGTGAACGAGTAGAACACCCTCGCCCTACTTGATTGGTGAAAATTATCTTTTTTTTTTTCTTTCTTCTTTTTTTTTCCGGAAACGGGTCGTTAACCCCTTCATTCCTGCTTTAATGTTAAAATATCGATTTTTAATTACGCGAATAAAAAAAATAATAAAAATAAAAATAAAGAATATTTTATCCTGTATAATTGGCAAGAATTTCGAGTAATTAATTTAGCCCCCTTTTTTTATTATTAAGATATTATTTTAATTCCCCTAACCTTATAAATTCTATGATACAAAACGCGTGGGGGATTATTTATTTATTTATTAATACTCACGTATGTAATAAATATATAGTGTTATATAGGATATATAATAATAATATATATATATATTTAAGAGAAGTAAAGATCAGAAACCAGTTTGTATTCAAGGTCAAGAGAATACTGCAAATTCTACATAGCCGTTGTCATGAGATGGCCTTGAAGACAGCCTTTCCTGCACTACACATCAACAGCAGTTAGGTAGAAGCTAGTGTGGATTTGGTGTGTGCGGGTCTTTAAATGCTTTAGAACTGCGATTCGGGAGCTCAGAAGCACGGCTCAACTGGTAAGATCAACATAAAGCAGCCACCAGATCGACTAAAGATGCACGTTAACAGTAAAGACAAACTTGCCATTCTGTAAATTTCACTTATTATTATTATAATAATAATTACTATATATTTATATTATGTTTTTTTTTTTTCTTTTCTTTTTTCCTTTTTCCCCATCTTTCAAGGTCGACGGATGAGTTTTTCCAACGTTTGCCAAGTGAAGGTGATCCAGATCGGTTTACTTTTATCCTTATTTATTTATTTAAATTTTTAAAATCTTTTACGTGTTAATTATTGGTTTAAAATCGTAAATTTCGCGTGGCGATTTAAATATATTTAATGGTGTGTTTATGGCGAAAAAAAATGTCATGCGATTTTTAAAACGCGCGGGTGCTTTTTCTCGAAACGTGTGTTGGCAATTCATGGAAGACGCACCTGTGAATGCAACCTGACATCTCCTGTGACGTCACTACGGTACCTGCCAGCCAGTGTTGCATTTTGGTATCGTCTTGTTGGCAAAAGTCTTCTCCCCTAGAAATAGGGACGTCTAAATTCAGACGCGAGGTGAACGACTCGGATCGCCAAAACAAATCCCGTCCAGCTTTCGACCCGTCTACTGCGTTATACTTTACACACACACACACACATGTATATATATATATTTTTTTTCTTTTTCTTCTTCTGCTTTCCTTATCGCCGACGTTTCCGTACTTTGGCCAGATGGTCGGACATCCCTAAACCCGCGCGGTGCATTGAACTTGGTGCCAGATTATCATCTCGAGCACGTAACCCTGGATTTCCAAAACGGTCCGGAGCCTTCTCCGTTGGTATACATTAAAAGGGGAGCGATCACGTGACGACGACGACGGCAATTGTCGGTGCGCGCGGATAGCGACAGCCTCGCCTTCGTCCCGATGTCGATCGACTATAGTGGAGAGTGCACGCGGTGCGATCGTCGCAACTCGCCAGGCTACTACCAAAAAATCGCGCGAGATGCTAAATAGAAATGGAGCTTTACTTGCCCTCCGTCGTCTAGTCGTTAGATGGAACCGCGAATGCTTTAAGTTGAGGTGAGTGACGTTTCGACCGCCTTTTTAATATATTAAGCCTAAGCACGAGTAAAAGTCAATGGAAAAGCAAGTTGTCGGTTTCACGCCAGATATTTCATATGGCAACTTTCTTCTTCCATTGACGTTTTACTCGCGTATCGTTTACGTTGATAAAAATGCAGCAGAAACGTCGACGAATGGTGCGATTACGTAACGGTGTAGGGGACGGGAAAGGTGGTGGTGGTGGTGGTGTGGTGGGTTTTTTCCTCATTGATCGCTTTCGTTTTCGTCGCGGCGATTGATAATGCCGTGCGAGAGAAGAGAGAGAGAGGCATTTTCGGATGGAAAAAAAAGACAAACGTGAGGCGAGTGAACGGACTCGGTAGTATCCGTTGCCTCGTATGTACCGTAGCGTAGTTGTGGATAATGTGTGGTTGTGATTTGGTGTCGATAACGGGTGACTGGTTAGAGAAAACGAGGTCGTACGGCGGAAAACAAGCTCAAAGTACTTCGGCGTTTCGATCGTTTTGCGGAATATCTTCGCTCGCCCGTGTTGATAGGATAAGATAAGAATATATCGACTGCACCCGACAACAGAAATTAATCCGTTCGGTAAGAATCCCGAACGATTTGGTTGGCATGTACACATCTACGTATCCTGTCATTAAGCGTGCCTGTCATTCGAAAACACAATTCTGTCCTATTAAGTCAATATGTTAATTTTCAGTTGGTAACAACTAGACTGACTATTCTTAACCCCATTTTCAGATTAAGATAGATTTAAATTACATGAATTACCATATAAGTTATTATCTAATCTGTAAACAAGCTTCTCTTTAACAACCTTGTAATTTATTTCCGTGGGTAAACTGTATTTTTAAATATTCCAAACGTTTTTTAAATTATTATTATTATTATTTTTTTTTCTCAGACTACCAGTTTCTATTTATGTATTGTTTGCATTTCTGATATTTCTGTTGTGGTGTGCTGTTTTAAAATTATTATTTAAATTTTAAGTGTCGTATTAGTTGACTTATCTGACTTAAAATTAAGGGATGGTAGATTAGATGGATACAGACGCGGTCGTCGAACTCATTATTTACTCTTTCTAGATATAAGAGAACTCCGAAAAATGGATAAGTGTCCCGTCGTCGGTTCGGCCGACGTGGAGCTCAACAACGGAAAGAGTGCGGTCAATGGAAGTCGTAAGGTGACCAATGGACGACACTCGATCGGACAGCAAGATGCCCTCTGTGCCTTAGAATGTCCCATACAGCATTATGCGGATGCACGAGATTACACCTGCGGTCTGTGGTCGTTTAGGCCCAAGCTGTTTAGAAGTTTTGCTAACAAAAAGACTTTCTTAATTGTGTTTTGTTTAACCAGTGTGTTGCAGGGTATGTATTATACCTATTTTGTTAGTGTTCTGACGACTATTGAAAAACTCTATCAGATTCAAAGTAAGACAACGGGTATCATCATGTCTGCGACGGAGATTGGACAAATAGGTGGTGCCCTGTTACTTACGTATTATGGAGGACAGGGACACAGACCGAAATGGATAGCTTGTGGCATGGTGGTTTTTGCATTTTCCTCCGTTCTATGTTCTATGCCGCATTTCTTGTTCGGCGGAGATGTTCGGTCTCTGAATGCCAATTCGACCGCGTCGAAACACACTCCCCGTCTCTGTCACCTGTCGGAGAATATGACCGGCGAGACGACGTTTGGCAATGAAACTTTTAAATCTCCGGTGACTACAGAATTTTCCAAATGTGATTCTATAGAAGTGTCGATTCAGCAGACTCGAATCACCAATGCAGTTCTTGCAGTGTTTTTCATTAGTCTGCTTTTCATTGGGATTGGAGCGACTGCTGTCTATACTTTAGGAATTCCATATATTGATGATAATGTTGCCACAAGAGAATCTCCTTTGTATTTTGGTAAGTTATTTTATTTGTGAACATAGAAAGAGATTATTTTATTTGATTTGGAAACTTACAAATTTTAAATTAGACATCAGTAAAAATTGAACTGATATTATTTCTTGCTAAAAAGAAATATTCCAAAAATAGTTTAGTTTAGAGAAAAATCAATAAAATATTTAATTAAAAATTTCTTCAGTTCATATCAATTTCAACAGAAGTTACTTATCATAAATCTTCTCATATATATATTGGAAATATTTTAATTTTCTAAATATAAATGTTATTAAGTATACTGTATTAAGTACAATAAGCAATTCTTTTAATGATATGCTTTTAATTAATCCAATTAAATTTTGTTTGAAAATTAAAAATAATATAAAATTAATTGAAATTTTTTGTTTTGCCAATCATACTCTAGAACAAATATGCAAGAAAACAATTGATAAAGTAAAACATAAAGTGAAACGTTTTATTTATTTGTGGGCAAATTATTATAATTTGTATGCTTTACTGAATAATTTAAAAACTAAAAGTATTATTAATTATTGAATAGGTAAAATGTCATATGCCACCTTTAATGTTATTGGTAACAGAAGTCAGTTTTCTGAGTATGAGAGGAACAAATCAAAACATGAAGTAGAAACATATGTTTTTCTGAAGATGATTGTTGTAAAAAAGACATTTTGTAATGTTGAAAACATTCAAAAGAGAAAAATTCACAGTATAAATGTTTGTGTTTTGATCTGTTCACCTCNGAAATTTAAAAAAATAATAATAATTAAAAGATGAATCATAATTATTTACGTGTTTTAATTTTATAAGCTTCAATTCTCTAGTAATAAAATACGTTTTTTGAAATATTAATGAATAATTTGTTCTTTTATGTAAATAGAAGCTTAAATGAAACTTTGTTTTAATTTGAAGAAGTAATTCATTAAAGGTTTGTCTTAAATTTAAGATTTGAACCTTTTATTTCAAGTAATTAACCCAAATTTTACTTTAATTTGAAGCTTTTATTTGAGCAAGTAATTAAAGTTTTGAACCTTTACTTGAAGTAATTAATTGAAGCTTCATTCCAATTTAGTGTATCGAATAGATCTAACCCCTAAAATTTAAACTTATATTATTATTTGAATTTCTGTAGATAATCTATAAACGATTAAATAATATTAAATTTCTGTTAAAATTTTTACTTTTCTACCCATAAAAAATATACAATTCATTTTTGTGTTATCTGAATTATAATGGAGCCGTATCATAAATGATTTGTTGTACAGTATAAACTTCAATTTTAAATTGTCCAGTTCATAAATTTATGAATAATTTCTTCCTTTCTGTATTATATATATTATTTTGCGACTAGTATTGTATGTAATATTTAAATTAAAAAATAATTTTTTGATGGCGAGATACAGATTTAATTTACATGAATTCGTTGGTGGAAAATTTATTATCTGTTATATAAGTTAAGTACAACTTTATACAACTGACAGTTCTAGAGTAGACTCATGACAACATTTAAAACACAAAATCTTAGATTCCAGAAGCGAACAATCTTACATAAAAATTCTATACAAATTCTTTGATTTTAGACTATACAATTATATAAAAATTTCAGATTCTAGACGTACTGTACAGTTCTATACAGAATCCTAGATTCTACAAGATACTAACGTGCATAAAATCCTAGCTTCTAGATCTACATAACCTACACAAAATAATATTTTCTAGATTAATACAATTTTATGCAAGGCCAATATTCTAGATCTATACAAAATCTAGATTTTGGATCTACACCATCTTATACAAAAGTTTAGAATTAGGCTATACAATTCTATAGAAAATATTCTTAAAGCGTAATTCAATATCTAATCACACTTTTTAAATAATATAAATCATAAATTCAAAAACAATGATAATTTGTTTTTCTGTTGATATTTTCACCAAAAAATTACAATAAAGTTCCACCCAATATCATAAAATCTAGCACACTGTTTATCGGCTTATTGCGCGTTTATTTTCCCGTCTCGGTTCCTACGTAAAAATTAAGAAAAATCTATATCCACATTTTATTAAATTCAAAAACAATGATATTTAGTTTTTCTATTGATATTTTCACCAAAAAATTACAATAAAGTTCCACCCAATATCATAAAATCTAGCACACTGTTTATGCACTAGATAACCTATTAACACCACTCATTGGATGACTTGGTCTAGTTGCTTTTTAAGAATTTAAGAAATTTTCAAAATATTTATTTTATTTTCACATATGGTAGCAATTTTTGATTCTTATTTCTGTCGATGTTAATAAATGACCTACAGCAATTCCTAAATCAGTTTGTCTTCTAAAAAGAGTTAATAACTGAATTGAACTTTCAGAAACCATAAAAACTGGCTTTTAAAATGATGAACAATTGAATTAACCTTGAATGCAATGCAATGTTAAAAGGATACATTGATTCAAGAGATGTCGAGTGAATTGAACCTGGATGCATCCACGTCGTGAAATATTTTAAATATACACAATTTATTATTTATATTTAAATGATATTGAAAAAATTAAAAATTAAATTTATTGATCTATAGTTTTGTATAGTTTAGAAAATTGGATTCTATATTATCGTAATTTCCTTCGGATACCCCATGGCNTTCGTAATGTTCTTTTTATGGCTTATAAATTCGATATTAGATCAATTTGTATAGACAATAATGTATATATTTATATAGAAAAAATTTTGCATAGAAGTTTTGGAAGAAATTTTTAATGGGGAAGGCCAGCGCTGGTTTAAAAGTGATATTAAATTAAATTTAGCTGTTTAATAAGCTCTGAAATTATCTCTATTTTTACGTTTTAAGCTTCTTTGATGTTTAAAAGGAGAAAATTGATTGGGTTAAGGCCTACTCAAGCCTTCTTTATTCCTGAGCCAATGAATGTATATTTAACTTAACTAAATTCCACAACAATATAGAATATATCTTATTGTGTAAATATAAGAAAAATCTACGAGAAACGGTTTCATAAGGAGGGAAATTCTTATAATTTAACATGGTGTTAATGAAATGCTTAAAGAATAAAAATTTTATTCGAAAATTGGATTTTTTCTTTGAATCCTATACATTTATATGTGGAGAAATACCAGATGACGACGAATATAGAAGGCCTGAAAGTCAGTTATACATTTAAAAAATAAATTGTTATCTTACTCTAATAAACTACTTTATATCAGAAATCTGAAAATTTATAGAGTGCATAGAGTGGCCGAAATGTTAGTTAACCACTATAAGAATCATTATAAAGATCTAAAACTCAATTAACCGTTGTACAGTACCTATACAGCGTAGTTACCTATTTGATTCCATCTTATTCAAATACTTTATTGCTCACAAAGTTAATCAAAATGGTTCAAAATAAAATTCTCTTTGTTCAATACACGAATTAAAATGCCTTAAAATATTAAATTGTAACTTTTTAAAAATTCTTTGGTAGCTTGTTCGAGCGATTACACGGTTAACTGTCTTTTAGTCACTGTATACGTAGCGACATACTATTATACTTTATATTATTTTAGATATTGCTCAATTATTTTTTACACGATCTGCAATCATATTTTCGTTTAGTATTAAATTCTTTCCGAAAAATATATTTTTTTCACAATGAAAAAGTTCTTTTCTTCCTAGCGAATAGAAATTTTATTTAAAAATTTATTAAGGTCGAGTAAAATTTATCTTTCATCCCTCTCTTCACATTAAAATTAGAGTTTATGATAGAAAATATGAAAGCGGAGAAAGTAAGAACCTTGATCTAAAAATATATAAAAATTTAAGCGCCCAACATGGGGTCGAATTCTGAGATTAAAAAGACTAGTCAGATCATCTGCTAAAAAGTAAATCTTAGCGTTAGTAAAGTCTAGTTTTACCAGCCCAAATTATAAACTTTTATTAAACCTGTAGTTTTAATTAATTGTAAAACAAAAATTAATCAATTATAGAATCTGGGATGATCCAAAAGTCAGTTGACCGAGTTTATTGCAAATCATTCAGTAATTTGTGAAGATATATTAAAGCATTAAAGTTTGCGTATTGAAGGACCTTACTTCGTAAAGTTCGTAAAATACGCGAATAATACAATAATTTAGTATTTAAAATGGTTAACTGATTTTTGGTCCAGCCTCTGTAACCGATATCTTAATTAAAATGTATTTAGTTCCAATCGCCTGCACTGTAATACATTTCTTTGAATTGCAAAAAGTATAAATGATGATTGTATAGGCCTATTATTCTCGTGAAGTAAATTGGAGAATTAAATCTCTATACACAAGCTATTTATAGTCGTTTATTATATTTATATTATTTGATGAAATCTATTTATATCATAGAATCTATAGACACTACAGCAGGGGTGCGAAATACTTTTTGAAATGTCTGCCAAAATATATATATATATATTTAACAAAATTGATGCCTGCCCAAACTCCGGGAGTCCAAATATAGTGTTTAAAGAAGTGAAATAAATTTACGCTAACTAGAATAAATTTTTAGAAAAAACAATAAAATATTGTTAAATTTATATGCGTTGAAATTAAATTAGACAAGTAAATATATAAGGCTATACATTTTCGTGTCATTCAGCTGCTCTCGATACGAGTTTTTCTTGTATTATTTTTAGAATTTTGTATTATAGAGGGTTTTTATCAATAAAATACAATAATTATTAATTATTTTTTATATATTTATTACAGAAATAAATACATAAATATAAAATACCGCGTGTTATATACAAGATACGATTTTTACAAATATATAATTTCTTCACTCCTCTGTGTAATATGTAGGTAAGTTATATGTAGAGGATTAATGTTATATTATTAAGTATCCTTATTTATATCCCTTATAAAATATAATCTAAATGGTCTGTAGTATAAATAATTAATTTTAATTGAGAAATTAATTGTAAAGAGCGTAAAGAAGGTCCATAAATATAAAAAAACACTTAAAGCTGGATTTAGACTTGTGGCCCTAACCCCCCTACACATTAACTAATAATAAATTTTAAAGTGCGAAGTCCTGAGCTAAGTAAATCTTAAGAAAAG